AGGACAGAGATTTAAGTGCACACTGCTTAAATACAGCTGTTAATAATACATTAAGACATGATAGTTTTACAGAAAAAAAATGATGAATTTGACAATTTCGCACTTGCTAGCCACAAAGATTCTTCTAATCTAAAGAGGATAGATATTGGCAGCTACTTTTCCTCATTTGACACATAAATGATGAGAATGCCATAACAATTGATTTTTTTCCAGTGAACCAGCCCCAGATCTTAAGGAAAATGCCGTAACTTATATTACAAGTTACGCGTACCACAAGTCATCCTTGTGAAACATGTAAATTCCAGATAATTGATCATCCTCCAAGAGCTTCAAAAACTAATAATATATTTTAAGATGCTAAAGTAAATGCAGTAATTCTTATTTATCTTATCCTAGGCAAGAAATGGTAATTTAATTACAGATTATAAAAATATGTTCCAATTACAAATTGACCATCACATGTATAAAGTTAATTATTAAACGGCAAATTTCGTTAAGGAACTTTCAGGTGTTCATATAGGTTTGAATTTATGCCATGGTATAAAGGAAAAGTTCATTGATATATTCTTGATGATGAAAATTTATCATTATATTAAAATATAAACGTCATGAGATTAATCCTTCATCAGCCACACCTGCCAAGAAACACGTGACATTTTATATGGTAACACGTCAGTGTCATTGTTTTTATAACATATTATTTTGTATTACGTTTAATGCATGTTTCCGAGCCCATTTTCTGTTCTTTTTGTTTTTTAATGAGTTTTCCTTTTGTTTGATACAATTTTGTTAAACATTTTTATCATTTGTTTTACACTACAACATGCAGTTGTGTCTTTGCTTTGCTTGCTTGTTTTCCTTCATAATACAGTATATATATATATATATATATATATATATATATATATATATATATATATATATATATATATATATATATATAGATCCACAATGAAAAGGTGTTTAATAAGGTCACCCTGTATATTTAAGCCTCTCTCTGTCCATGTAATCCAGTTGCCTCTGAAGATGTCTTGAATAAAAACGAAAGCTAAGGTGCTCCGTTGTTCCCTTTTCTTTGTGTGATTTTATCAAAATATATATATATATATATATATATATATATATATATATATATATATATATATATATATATATATATATATATATATATATATATATATATATATATATACATATATATAGTGCATGATTAATAATTAATAATATTAATTTTTAATAATTAATGTTAATTTTTATGGAAATGTGAAAACTTGCATGTATCATGTTAGATGAAATATTATAATACATGACTAACCAAGACACAACGTGAATTTTTGGTTTTGTGTTTGTTTATTTCAATAAAGATAAACAATAAGAATGCCTCTTAATAGACAAGAACTCTATTGAAAGCAAGGTCATTTATTCCCCAAATTTATGAAACGGCATAGCAGGTGATTCATCACTTGCGGTAAGTGTATGATAAGCACGAGAAAAGATTTTCTTTATTATAATTTCTGAACTCAACTAAGATCTTGAGGCAATGGATTCTCTTTATATGTATACATACATGCATACGTAAATGAAGATTGGTGTGTCTAAAATAAATAGACAACGTAAAAAATGTACTTATGACGTCACATCAACTTCTATGACGTCACGAATAGCTTTTGGACGCAGCCAATAGATGGCGCTATTGCTGAGGTATCTGGCAACAGAGCTGTACACACATTTCATATATTTTAGCTCGAACTTTCTTATCTTGAGTAGAGTATCTTTGGTCCGACCGTCCAACCTCTCTACAATGAACTTGATAACACAATAGGGCGCAGCATCCACAGACCTTACCGTCGTGACTCTAAAAATTATTCATGGATTATTCATATCTACATTTTTAATAAAGTGTTAAGTACTCTAATGACGTGTTCTAACCTAACCTTGGAGGAAATTAAAATGCTTGCGCCTCTCTGTGATCTCAATGACATAATTAACATCCCGAACACACACTGTACTACACGATAAGGACCAGAGGACTGAAGAGGTTGCTTTGGCAAGGGTAGCAGGGTTAAGACCTCATCACCTGCCTTAAAAATCCGAACTTATTTTTCATACTCTCCTGAGCCTTAATTTAAGAACTTAGGCAGCATCCTTCTCACTCATCCAGCACTCCTTAGGGACCTTTGAGGGTCCTATAATGTCATGTCTATATATAAATCAATTGAAAGAGGGTAAATCTTAAGCTTTTCTGTGCACTGTCCCTCACAGAGAACGTGTTGGTGGTGCGTGACATCACCAAGATATGGCCCTGGTTCACGTTTTCCACCTCTTTCGGGATCTTGAATGTTTCGGTGAGATCTGCCCTATTGTGCCTTGTCTGAAGGGTTGTTAGTCCTAAGGCACTCGGTCTATTTGGATAGTTAAGATGACATAGTTACCGAATCATCTTAGTTTCTTCGTGGTATCTTTACTAGGGATGCTACCATCCCCGTGTGTGTGTGTGGGGGGGGGGGGGTAAGGATAATTTACGTTCATGTATACTTAATCAAAGAAAAAACTGTAAATTAATAACATCATTACTAACCCAGCTATTCAGTGATAGCAAACGACATATCTAGAATTAAATGAATTGTTTACCATGAAGTGGATATGTTAATTTAAGTAAAAGTAAAACTAGACAAACACTGGGCGGCAGGAAGACAGTCACTGATACGCTGACCGACCGTGACTCATGGACATCGGCGTGTGCACGTGTTGTAGCTTTTTGCCTCTTGTGTATTGTTTACTTGAGGTAGAATATTTTGTTTTCCCATTTTATATCACTGAACTTTAAATGATCTATATTAAAAAATGATACGTGGCTGCCCTGCTAGAGGTTACAACCTCAAGTTAGCCCATGGGTACGAGAGGTCCCTCTCTGTGCTGAATAAAATAGTCTGGCGTTAGCTTAAAAAAATATTAAAAGTAACGTCCGGCATAAAGGGGTCAGTGGATAGTTTATTAGTAGAGATATTTGGTTATAGAAGCGATTAGTGCAGATCGTCAGAACTAATTTCTTTATAGAAGGGCTTGTGAAGTCTTGGAATAACCTGCCAGAGAATGTTGTGACAGTACCAGGAGTGAGTTCCTTTATGACCTCCAAACGGTTAGTTAGCTCATAAGTGGTGAAATGATAAATACATAATAATAGTAATAATAATAACAGCAAAAACAACAACAATAATAATAATAATAATAATAATAATAATAATAACAGCAAAAACAACAACAATAATAATAATAATAATAATAATAATAAATAAAACACTGGTACAGTACATGTTCGGGTCATCCAAGAACCCGTACGTCTGCATGCCTGCGAAACAGAGAACTGCCTGATCGTCAGTCAATTGATAAGAGTCTTAGAGGGTAAGTGTAAGCAATATTTATAAACAGAGATGTGGGAACCATAAAAATACTGTACAGTACAAATATAATGGTCCGGTTTAAAGCATAGGCGCTTTTAAACTATGTACCAAAATAAATGCATGTTTCAATATTTTTCATCCGTCTCATAATGTTTCACACAATGTGGACAGATAATTTTTTGAAATACCGTAACTTGGTAAAAAAAAAAATTCTTTCAGGAGGGATCCGATGAATTCCGAACTGAACAATCCTGTTGTCACGCTAAGGTTGGTAGGCGTGATAGGAAGACATTTCCTACTTATTATAGTAAGCCTAATTTAGTTATTTCATCCGAAAAATAAAATTAGTTCGTTGCAAAATGGTTGACGAATAACAGTATCATATTCAATTTCTACCCCTTAGGGTCTTCGGATCACAATCTAATCTGTATTAAATCAAACTGGCACGACCACCTACCCCACCCGCCTCTAAACGTTAACTGTGGCACTATAGGAGGGCAAACTGGCAATCCTTGCGAGAATTTTTCACCGACTTTCCTTGGGATGAATGTTACTTTTCTACTCGGGACACCTCGGTATGTGCAGACAGCATTGCTGGGGTTATACAGGGTGGTATGAGTGCATTTACCCCATCATCTACCAAGACTTTCACTCTACAATCATGGTTTGATCGCTCCCGTTCTCTTGCATGCAGGGAGAGAGATAGGGCGTATCAAGTTATGAAACTATCTCCTTCTGTTACTCACTCCTCTTTCATTACCTCTAGCAATCGTTGTAAGGTTATTCTTCGTAGGGCCAAGCGGAATTTTATTTAAAAAAAAAGACAGCTGACCTGACTAACTCTCCTTCTAGTAAATATTTCTGGTCCCTAACCAAAAAAAAATCTGTAATAACTTTTGCACTCCCTCTTTTCCTTCTCTCTTCCGACCTGACAACTCTATAGCCAACTCTCCCCCTGATAAAGCCAATTTCATTGGCACCTTATTTTCCTCTAACTCCACCTTAGACGACTCGAACTCTACCCCTCCTACTCCTGCTCCTCTTACTGAACCTATGCACCTTCCTATAATCTCGAATCGTATAGTGTTGCTGGTGTGTTAGTTTGGATGTGAGTAATAGGTCAACGTTCGGGGCGCATGCGCAGTATAGTAAACGGTACATATCTCTGCAGGGGTTTATACTACGTATCTCCTTACCAAATTTCAATTTTATCTTCAAAACTGTGATCGGATATCACAAACAGACGCGAGCAGCAATATGGACCTTGTTGTTGGCATTCTTGATTATAAAATCTTAAGAGAAATCAACAGCCTCAGAGCCGATCAGTGGCGAAGAGGACGAAAGTAACAGTAACTCCGTCTTTTGTTAGCACCCCACGAGAGCTTATTGCTATTATTTGTTCTCCAATATGCTGAAAGAAACTACGTATTCCTAAATTAAAGTTAATTTTGTCATACGTGTTTGTGTTTAGTTATATCAGTATTTAACACTGGGGATTTTCATTAATATTTTTTTTTCTAAAGTTATTAATGCAACAACAAATAAAACCTTGAGAGTGTAGCCGTAGTGCAGATAGAAGAGTGAGAAGCACAGTAATAGCCACGCTCACCAGTCGACCTTCAGATCTCGTAGGGGATGTGGCGTTACGCGAACGCAGCAGGAGTTTGCCCCATCCTTGTTATTTTCCATTATTGTGTACTGTGATTTTTAGCTACTTAAGCGATTATTTTTATTAGAATCCTAATGGGTTGAACACGCTCTTGATAATTCAAGATTAATGGAAAAATATTAGTGTTTATCGGGAGGATATCTCAGCTTTACAGCACAACAAACTAACTAGTCCTTCTCAACACCGCTGCCATGGTACGTAAAATGTTTGTATGTTGTCATAACATGGTGAAATACCCAGCTTACCCTGTAGTGTGTTTGGCCTATTCTCTTTAGTATCTGTCTTTCAACTCTTTACAAAGTACTAGGGGATGGGGAAACAAAAACTGTATCTTATAAAAATAAAGTTTATTCTATAGAACAATCAGCGGAGTGCTGGAAGCTGTAGTTGAGTCTGGAGTAGCTTGGTGGGTGAGCCGTGAGCTGCTTGTAGATGGTGGAGAAACGTTTGTAGAAATCTTGATCCGCTGGTGCGTAGATTGGTGGTGGAGTTTGGAGGGACTTGGGGGGGGGGTTGGTGGAGAGTGCAAGTAAAGATAGAAAGGGGGAAAACAAGGGAAGGTTTGACAGAACTAGAGGCTCAACAAAGAGTGAGGGGAGATATGATAGAAGTATTTAAGTGGGTGAAAGGAATCAATAAAGGAGATATAGATAAAGAAACAAAGTTCTTATAATATTCGAGCAGGATAGGACTGTAAGCAACGGATTTAAGTTGGATAAGTTTAGGTTTAGGAGGGAGATAGGAAAGAACTGGTTCACAAATAGGGTGGTAGACGAGTGGAACAAGCTTAGCAACTTTGTAGGAAGTGTTGGAATGTTGGAAAGTTTTAAAATGAGGCTAGATAGATTCATGGATGATAGAAAGTGGTTGTAACTTGACAGGAGCTGCCATGCACACAGGCCAACCGGCCTATTGCAGACTCCTTATTTTCTTATGTTCTAACCCAAGTGCTCCTGACAGCTTATGTTTGTGGTTTAGCCAAGTTTGTCTTGGTAGTTTGAAATTCATATAGCTGTTCTTGTGTGTTTGGTTTTGTTAATCAATTGTTACATCGTGTAGATTAATTATTCTTGTGTTCTTGTCTCCTGCTCAATGTTGGGGAGTCTAGTTCAGGTACTTGTGTTCTGAATAGATCCTCCCATCTTTTGATTGCAAAAGTAATTCGCCTGCTTCTTCTATCCTTTCTTCGATTGGCCCTATGTCTTTGGCTTGCGTGTGAAAGTGTGTTGATTGGTTCCATTTTTGCTCTCCGATGTAGTCTGGCGTTGGAGATCATGTCAGGGAATCTTGTGTTGTATAATATACAACATAAGTAGAGCATTAAGGAACATATTATGTTCCTTAATGCTCTACTTTGTATTACTTAAAGTTTCTTCACATGACTCATTTGTTAATTACTGCAGGCAGGGGTATAGGTGGATACACTAGGACGGATTTGCAGTACACAGCCTTTTCTTGTTGTTCGAGGTCAGGTTCTTGAATTTTTAAATTTAGTTAACATTCTTATTGGACTGTATTTCCATTTTTTCCTTCATATATGTTTAGTATCTAGCTGTAGTTACTTTTAGTCCTAGTACTGTTCTTTGCGTGGTGCAAGGAATTAATTCACCATTTACTGTGATGGGGTGTCTTTTTTTTTTTACGGGGATCAGCCCACCCGCTCACTGACCCACATCGGGGCCAGGAATAATAATAATAATAATAATAATAATAATAATAATAATAATAATAATAATAATAATAATAATAATAATAATAATAATAATAATAATAATAATAATAATTATAATTATAATAATAATAATAATAATAATAATAATAATAATAATAATAAATAATAATAATAATAATAATAATTCATAGTAAATAATTTTTTAATAAAAATAATAATAATAAAAATAATAATAATAATAACTGCAATAGTAAAATAATAATAAAGAACCATAAACATAAAAATTAAAAAAGATCAAAAGTGAGAAACAATATACTGTATGTATGTTGTGTTGTCAATAGTAAAAGAAACAATTGAGACCCTGCAATTGTGGGTAAATGAGGCAGAAAGTCAGACCAGCAACCTGGGACTTGGTCACAATTTTCGTGTTGCCATATGGCAGCAGGGTCTACCATTAGACAACACATTATGCTTCCAATATCTTCCCAGGCGGTAGTACCTCCCCGTTTGATAGCTGCCTACTACCTATGGGTATAACTTTGAATTTATTAGTATTGGTTTGAATTTTCCATTTATGTTCACGTTGATTTATTATTTCAGTTGCATTTGCTGTGCCATTGTTGCTGTTAATTTCCCTGGAGATGCTATAATTTGGGTGATGTCATCTACAAATGCTATAAACTCTGAATAGGGAGCTGGTTCGGGTGTATCAGAGGTGTAATACTATAAGTGGGCGAGAGAACACTGCCTTGTGACACACCACTTTCTACCTCTATTAGTTGTCCTATGATGTTTCCTATTTGAATTTGCGTTGTGCGGTCATCTAGAAAGTCGCACCGTGTTTTGTTTTTCTAATAGGGAGGGAAAATTACCTGTAGGAATTTCTACTTCAGACATGTGTGCCCGACTTTGTCAAATGCTTTCCTAACGTCAAGAAGGACTACGTTTGATTAGTTCAGTTATGCTGTTTTTTACTGGTTAAGCTTTCGGTGATAATAGCCAGTGCAGTGTCTGTTCCTCTCCCCTTCGTGAAGCCATGTTGTCGTGGGTTTGTCTTGTTTTTGCTTTTTTATTTAAACAATTGATTACATGGGGATCACTGACAAGGTTCTAGCCTAATCACATGATAACTGGTTTAAAGAAAAATTTGGGTAAAAACTATCCTCTCTGTAAAGCCTTCCCCAGGATTGTTACAATAAATTATCATACACTACATAGTTAAGGACATTAGATTAATTAAAGCCACTATAAATATAATGATGTAGACACAGTAGATAGTATTTTAGAAAAAAATACATAATAATATACATTAAAAATTGTAGACCTCAACTGACGTGCTGTGGACAGACGAGTAAGTCAGGTTCGTAGAAGAATCACCGGAGTTGGGAGAGTTGCTCGCCATCTTGACCTGTTGGGTAGTCCTCTTCCCGACATCCGGTGTGGTCGCTGTGAAGAAGTTCCACAGTCGTGAAACTCTGGCCTTGAAGGTCCTGTGATGCTGACTGGTTTGTAACCTCGGCGCCTCCACCAGCTGGACGCTCGACAGCACCGTCCTCGTCTTCCTCTGCGCAGCTCATAGGAGCAGCCTGAGTCCCACCAGGTGAGACACCACTTGGATCTAGGCCTTGTGGAACACCGTCAAGTCCACCACATCAGTCGCAAGGCTTGCCTCTGTATCTTGTACAGTTTTCCGTTGAGGGACGATGAGGGAAGGAGCGCTGGAAATCCATGACAGGGATGAGTACTCTAAATAAGGCCTTATCTGGGCCTTATAGAGCGTCAGAATCCCATTGTGGTCAAGAAATCTAGTCAACCTTCTCAGGGCAGATAACCCGAGTGAGGCCTTGCAGGCGCAATTGTGTTTGTGTCTTTGTTTTGCTTTATGGGGGTTGTTTTGTGTGTGTTTGTGTTTTCGTAAATGTGTTTGTTTTTTGCGTGTTCTTTGCGTGTGGCAGAAACAGACGTGAACGTGATCTGCCCTACTTGATGGGTGTGGGTGTGGGTGTGAAGGAGATGTGCCTCTTATAGCAGAGGTGGAGGGTAATGGGGTAGATGTCTCGTCGGGGTGACTCTCCGTCCTCCTCCATTGACGGTATAAGTCTCTCAACACCATTTGTTTTATTTTGTTTTGGGGGTTGGAGAGTGAGAAGGGCTAGGTATCCTTCCCCTTTGTCTGGCTTGTGGGTGGCTGCGCTACCATATTGTTTAGGGCGTCTGTGGTGGGGGATAGGTTTATTGGTGATCTAGTGCTTACTTCCGGTCTTACTTCCGGTGGACGTGTATATAAGCTCAGCCTCGCCGTGAAAGGCATTGTGAAGAACAAGACCCACTTTACACATATATGTGAACAAATAACACCACCATCTAACAAACATAAATTAACACCCATTACAATAATGAATACCTAGCTAGCTTAGCTCCTCCCCCCACCCCCCGACCCCTCCACCTGCCTCCCTTGAGCGGGCGGGCGTGTGCTGCATGCAGCCACCATCCCAACATATCAACTCGTCTCCGCTAGGTGGACAGCCCACCTGCTATCTCCCCCACCTACTTTTCTTCCTGTTTCTATGCTTTACTTCTCTCTCTCCTCTCCTTTCCCAGTGCAAAGTCATTTGCCACTTTCCCTCATTATCATCATCATCATCAAAGGCATTCTACGGAGAGCTCTCAAACAGACAAGACCTCCTCTCTAGCTCACCACACAGCAACTCCCTAGGGATGTGTTGGTACAGTACAGTGGTACAGGGATGTGTTGGTACAGTACAGTGGTACAGGGATGTGTTGGTACAGTACAGTAGTACAGGGTGTGTGGGTGGTAGAGTACAGTAGTACAGGGACAAGTAAGTGTACAGGGAAGTAGTACAGGGATGTTGGTACAGTACAGTAGTAAGGGACATGTTGGACAGTACAGTAGTACAGGGATGTGTTGGCACAGTACAGTAGTACAGGGATGTGTTGGCAGTACAGCAGTGTACAGGGATGTGTTGGTACAGTACAGTAGTACAGGGATGTGCTGGTACAGTACAGTAGTACAGGGATGTGTTGGTACAGTACAGTAGTACAGGGATGTGTTGGACAGTACAGTAGTACAGGACGTGTTGGTACAGTACAGTAGTACAGGGATGTGTTTGTTACAGTACAGTAGTACAGGGATGTGTTGGTAGAGTACAGTAGTACAGGGATGTGTTGGTAGAGTACAGTAGTACAGGGATGTGTTGTAGAGTACAGTAGTACAGGGATGTGTTGGTACAGTACAGTAATACAGGGGATGTGTTAGTACAGTAGTACAGGGATGTGTTAGTACAGTACACAGTACAGGGATGTGTTGGTACAGTGCAGTAGTACAGGGATGTGTTGGTACAGTATAGAGTAGCAGGGATGTGTTGGTACAGTAGTAGTTCAGGGATGTGTTGGTACAGTACAGTAGGACAGGGATGTGTTGGTACAGTACAGTAGTACAGGGATGTGTTTGGTACAGTACACTAGTACAGGGATGTGTTGGTACAGTACAGTGGTACAGGGATGTGTTGGTAAGGCTATAGTACAGGGGTGTTGGTACAGTACAGTAGTATAGGGATGTTGTAGAGTACAGTAGGCAAGGGGATGTGTGCAGTACAGCAGTACAGGGATGTGTTGGTAGAGTACAGTAGTACAGGGATGTGTTGGTGTACAGTACAGTGATACAGAGATGTGTTGGTACAGTACAGGGATGTACAGAGTACAGTAGTAGCAGGAATGTGTTGGTACAGTACAGTAGTCACAGGGATATGTTGGCAGTAACAGTTGATGTGTTGGTACAGTACAGTAGTACAGGGATGTGTTGGTACAGTGCAGTAGTACACGGATGTGTTGGTACAATACATTAGTACAGGGATGTGTTGGTACAGTACAGTAATACAGGGATGTGTTAGTACAGTAGTACAGGGATGTGTTAGTACAGTACACAGTAGTACAGGGATGTGTTGGTACAGTAGAGTAGTACAGGGATGTGTTGGTACAGTACAGTAGTACAGGGATGTGTTGGTACAGCAGTAGTACAGGGATGTGTTGGTACAGTAGGTAGTCAGGGACTGGTACAGTAGAGTAGTTCAGGGATGTGTTGGTACAGTAGAGTAGTTCAGGGATGTGTTGGTACAGTAGAGTAGTTCAGGGATGTGTTGGTACAGTACATTAGTACAGGGATGTGTTGGTACAGTACACTAGTACAGGGATGTGTTGGTACAGTAGAGTAGTACAGGGATGTGTTGGTACAGTACAGTAATACAGGGATGTGTTGTTAGAGTACAGTAGTACAGGGATGTGTTGGTATAGTACAGTAGTACAGGGATGTGTTGGTATAGTACAGTAGTACAGGGATGTGTTGGTACAGTACAGTAGTGCAGGGATTTGTTGGTACAATACAATAGTACAGGGATGTGCTGGTACAGTACAGTAGTACAGGGATGTGCTGGTACAGTACAGTAGTACAGGGATGTGTTGGTACAGTACAGCAGTACTGGGATGTGTTGGTACAGTAGTACAGGGATGTGTTGGTACAGTACAGCAGTACTGGGATGTGTTGGTACAGTAGTACAGGGATGTGTTGGTACAGTACAGTAGTACACAGATGTGTTGGTACAGTATATTAGTACAGGGATGTGTTGGTACAGTACAGTAATACAGGGATGTGTTAATACAGTAGTACAGGGATGTGTTAGTACAGTAGTACAGGGATGTGTTGGTACAGTAGTAGTACAGGGATGTGTTGGTACAGTACAGTAGTACAGGGATGTGTTAGTACAGTAGTACAGGGATGTGTTGGTACAGTAGTAGTACAGGGATGTGTTGGTACAGTACAGTAGTACAGGGATGTGTTGGTACAGTACAGTAGTACAGGGATGTGTTAGTACAGTAGTACAGGGATGTGTTGGTACAGTAGTAGTACAGGGATGTGTTGGTACAGTACAGTAGTACAGGGATGTGTTGGTACAGTACAGTAGTACAGGGATGTGTTAGTACAGTAGTACAGGGATGTGTTGGTACAGTAGTAGTACAGGGATGTGTTGGTACAGTACAGTAGTACAGGGATGTGTTGGTACAGTACAGTAGTACAGGGATGTGTTAGTACAGTAGTACAGGGATGTGTTGGTACAGTAGTAGTACAGGGATGTGTTGGTACAGTACAGTAGTACAGGGATGTGTTGGTACAGTACAGTAGTACAGGGATGTTAGTACAGTAGTACATGGATGTGTTGGTATAGTACAGTAATAATAGTGACCATTTGGTAATTCAAGTTCAAAATTGTCACATACAGTACATGAATGAAGATGTCATAATTGTATTCTCCACCCACGAACACATTGCTATGGTCACAAAAATCAACTTTCTAGGTGTCCTAGAAGCAGAGATATTTTCATTTTGAAGCATTTACACACAATATTCTGCTTGGTAAACCTATTTTTAAGTTAAGGAGGGCAAACTACCATCACTGGCTATGTTACCAACTTTTACCCAAAAATGCTACCTACAACCACTTTTAGGGCTCTTTTGTGAATACATGCCTTGTCTATTAAATCTGCAAGGATTATTACTAGGTATGAAGATAACAGGTGGCCCTCAGAGAGCCCTCATGAGTCTGATGTGGCCCCCAACTTCAAAAGTTAGGCCTCAGTTGTAAACTTCGAGTGAACATATTATGGATACGTTTTATTTTTTACTCTTACTTTAGTATAGTGTACTTCACAAGTGGTAATTTTACTTCAACTTAAGTAACTGTCTGTCAAACTGCTTCTAATTTAGCACGAGTAATAAATTTCAGTACTTTTCACTTTCTCTCTCTCTGCTGTTCTTATAATGTTATTACTGCACTTCAACACCTATGGTCTTTAAGTGCATAACAAGGTTAGCAATTACACTATTCCATCAACAATTAAAATGTTGGATAAAACTCATCTCTATAAAACATTTACTACACATCGATCAGAGCAGTTTGATGTGCTGCTGTAGCACGAAGGTGCCTAATCTTCGGGAGATCCTGTGTTTTTTTTTTTTTCCTAATCTAATCATAAAAATATTTCAGAATCGATATCGAAGGCATTCGTTTCACAGCACGGAAACATACAGCAAGCCCCGTCTATTCTCCAGCTTCAAGAATTCATCAGTTATCCATGACAATGAGGATCAAAAAGAAAACACCCAACGGAAGAGACTTCTATCAGATTCTGCAATTATTCAGTTTACCAAGGCACGATCCTTCCCACGTGAGGCTCCTTGGGGATCAGAGCAAAAGATAGTGACTCCCGCCTACCATGAGCTTCCAATACAATCAGGCAGGTGGAAATATGGTTAAGTATTATCATACTCTGCTAGTTTTCATCTTTTCTCAGCTAGCTTTAGAAAAAGGTAATAATTATTGAAATTCCTGAAGATACATATTAGATTTTACTGATACTGTAAACGCCTTTGTACTGGACTAATTAAGTAGTAGAGTGGTCCTTCTCACAAATTTTCCTATTTCTGCTCCCAGGACAAGAGATAAAACATTCACTGTGCCCTGTTGAGACATTATTCTACTATGCGTGAAAAACGAATATACTGACATAGCTCACAAAACATTAATAAACAAATATGAGGTAACCAACTTGTTATACCATCCAAGGATTGAAGTTTACTGGCTTTAGTTTATCAACAAGATTAAGCATTTTTTTTTTGCCTTGTACCACCTCCACTTTCACTATAAAAAATAGCCTTGATGATGAAAATAATTTAAGTACCGCACACAAAACTGAAATAGCACCATAGTACACAATCTCTTGAGTTAATAACACGTATTATTAACCATTCAATTAGTGCTTATACTGAGCCAGATGAGCAAAGTTTGCAAGAGTAACACATATTAAAAATCAGCAACAGGTGCTGTGTAGGTATTACAGAACGGTTAGTGCTGTACTCTGTGTATTGGATATAATGTTTTAGAGAGAAAATTGTATTATATTAGAAAGAGACCTTCATGATAATGATACTCTGTACAGTTACCAGTCAGCTTTCATCTGCTTGATCCGTCTTACTAATCGTGTATCAAGGATGGTAACGTTAGCTTTACAAAAGGCCTTTCACACTAATGTGTCTAAAATCAACAACAGGAAACTATCTTGTTGTAAATAATACCGAGCCAACACCCTTGTAGATAACCTGCGGAGTTCGACAAGTGAGTTTTGCTAGATCAATATTATTTCCTTTGTTCTGTTAACGACATTAGTGTTAATTGTAAATTTTTGTATCCTGATCGTATCGGGTAAACGTCCAAAGGATATAGGCATAGCTAACAACTTATCATATGAACTTGCATCATGCAAACTATGTCTTACAGATAACAATTCCTTACATCTTGAAAAGATTGAAGCAATATTATTTGGATAATAAAGAAAACTGAAAGGAGTAAGTGAATTTTAATGTCTATGTATTAAATCTCATTCTTTTTAATATTACATTTAAAGGAAAAAATTAACACTGGTCCATAAAATTATATACTGTATATGTACCCGTAAAGTATTTTACTCTTCACATATACGAGTACCTCGTGTTTCGAAGCTGGATTTGGTAAAACGTTACTCTGATCACCTAAGAGGCATGGGTATTCCTCAATTGGAGGTTCAAGGCACCATAAGCTCGATGAACAGGCTTTGTGTAAAATATAACAAAGTTTTGGAATGCTTTTAGTGTCCTGGAGGTCTAGAGGTAGCGTTCCCCAGTCACACATATAAGATCGTGGGTTCGAGTCCGGGCGGGGTGAGGTTGTTGATTATATGTAGAAGTCCGCGCGCTTTATGGGCTAATGAAGTGTGCGTGCGTGCGCGTGTGTGTGTGTTTTCACACACAGAGTGGTGAAATGCATATAGTGTGCCAGCATTATGTTAGTGTAAGGTGCAAGCACTGCTTGCTCCCTCTCGTTTTCAGCTACCACCGCTGGCTAGCCCTCATGGCGAACAGGGAAGCAACTTGCATAAGTCTTCCCCTGCCAGTACACAGCCTCCTCACCATCAAAACTCCTGCTGCGCCTCCTCCTGGCAACACACGATAACTGGGTGCCTCATGGGCCCAGGCTAGACCAGCAAGGGATCTCGGAGTAGCATTGGGCCCCAGAGGGACGGCGCATAGGCCCACTGGCATGTGGACACATCCTGGCGCCTACCAACCACCGCCCCGCTGCCTTACGGATTACCCTTGGTAGGTACAGTGGGGTATGCTATAACGAACGGATCCTACTACGAATATTCCTATAACGAACGGTTTTACCTATAAAATTGAGAATGCTATAACGAACGCAACTCCTACAACGAACGCGGATGAATACGGGACTATTTCGCCTGGCGCATGAATATTGTTGTACCGCGACCCACAACAAGAGCGTCAGGCGCCATCTTTGTCTCATTGTGTAGCCAGTGCACCACTGTTATTGTTGAAATTTCGTCTTTTGATGTGGAAATTCGCGTTATTTGTATAACTATTTTGTTATACAAGTATACAATTGTAACAATGAGTCGTCCAAAGCGAGTGAGAAAGCTAATAACCCTTGAAACTAAGAAAGAAATTATAAAGAAACGTGAGAATGGAAGAAGCATTGCGAAACTTAGTGATGAATATGGGATGGCTAAATCGACTATATGTACGATTTTGAAGAATAAAGAGGAGTTAAAAACTGTGCAAGTGGCTAAGGGAATCTTTAGACTTAGCAAAGCAAGGTGTAATGTGATTGAAGAGATGGAAAATTTACTCTTAGTGTGGATAAAGGAGAAAGAAATGGCAGGTGGTAACATTAGTGAAGCTATAATTTGTGAGAAGGCTAAACAATTGTTTGAGGACCTTAAAGCCAAGACTCCCAGTGGAAGTGATAGTGATGTGCCAGTGTTTAGGGGTACCTGCATGCTGAATAACACTAAGGTAAGATAAAGTACCGTATTTTTTACATTTTCCACAGAATTTTTTCAGTGTTAAGCGGTTGTATTTGGGGGCCTGGAACGGATTAATCCTATAACGAACGAATGCTATAACGAACGAGGCTCTGGAACCAATTACGTTCGTTATAGCATACCCCACTGTATAAGGCTATGGGAATAAACCCCAAACAAAAAATCTGTGGTGGAGCCCAGCATCAGGTAGACATGCTTACAGAACTCCAACAAGACCTCAACAGCGGTGTAGGCGGAAGAGGTGACCACCACTGCAACCCAACGACTACACTGGCGGACGAAGGCAGTGCCTGATGGACAGGCTACGAAGGTGAAACCCAACAAACTGGGTTATTGGCAGTCCATTGCAACTCTCCCTTTCCCCAGTCATTGCAGCACTTGCACCACTGAATCAGGAAAGGGGAGAGCCAAGAGCCTGCACTCTTGCCTCACCACATAAATCAATTCATGTACAGCCATCATCCAGCTCATCATACCTTTCATCATCATCAAAACCCCTATACCCCCAAAAGTCCTATGGCGATGGGGACAGGCAGAGATGACTGCCGGGAGTCTCTAGTCACAACTCTGCACATGGGCGGCACAGATATGATGGTCGTTTATGCACTGGGATCTAGGCAGCAGTGCAATCCGATCCTGTGCGTGCGACTGAGCAGCCCTCTCAAGGAGCAACTTTGCTCACCCCACATGGGGAGGGGGCTAGAAAAGGTACCCTTAACATAGCCTGCCTAAAAAAAAAAAAAAAAAACCCTGACTGGGCAACTGCACCCAGTAAGGTCATCCTTATGTGGTCAAAAACACAGTCAAAATCACAGATCCAAACAAAAACAAATTAGAGTATACAACCTTTCATGGTCACTGCATGGAATGTCAGGACCCTAGCCGCGTCAGTTACATCCCTCCCGGCCACACCGTGTATACAGGTATCTATTGTTCTATAAGAATGGCTGCTGCCGGACCACCACCACCACCACAGAAAAACCTTGCATTACCTGGACCCAGCCGCCCTAAGCCAAAGAATATACGACGTGCCCTAAGTTACGAGGTGAAGTACAGTATAATACAAGTTAGAAAAAGGAACAAGACAGGTTGATCTCGCGCACCAGCATGGTGTTAACGAATCTACAATCCGGACGATCAAGAAGGATACAGCCAAGATAAAAGAACACAGGTGCTTTAATGATCAAGTATTGCCAGAACAAGGTGCTTCTCAAGACAGAAATTTACTTGTGTGTTACTTGATTCGTCAGGCAAGACGGAACATGGCGGTCGACACGCGGTCAGTTCAGGAGTACGCACGTGAAATGTACGCAGCAGTGTCACGTAAGATGGGAATTGCAGAGCCCAAACCCTTCAATGCTTCCTCTGGGTGGCTGCACAGGTTTAAGAAGAGGAACAAGATCACCAACATTAACATTGGTGGCGAAGAAGCGAGTGCTGACCGTGTTGCGGCTAGGGATTTTCCTCCATTCTTACATGAGATTATGGAGGAAGGACAGTACACCAACGACCAGGTGTTCAACATGGACTAATCCGGTCTGTTTTGGAAAAAGCTACTTTCCTAGACCTTCGTTGTCCAGTCTGCCAGCAAGTGTCGGGGCCAGAAGTTGCAGAAAGAGCGCATCACCGTCTTGTTTACCACCAATGCCTCCGGTTCCTGTAAACTCAGGTTATCGGTGATCCACACAGCCCGCAAGCCACACGCCTACAAGAACATGGACATGACCAAGCTAAATGTCCATTGACTGACCGCACGTATGGCGTGGATGTTCTCTGCTCTGTCCCTCTCCTGGTTTGATGACTGTTTCGTTCCCGATGTGAAGAAATTGTGTGAGCAACAGAATGTTCCTTTCAAGATTTTGTTGTTCCTTGACAACGCACCAGGACACTCGCCCCTACTGTTGGATCATCACCCCAACGTAAAAGTGGTCTTCCCTCTTCCCAACACTATGTCACTAATCCAGCCCATGGACCAAGAATTAATCTGCAATGTGAAAGCTGCATACTCTGCAAAGAAGTTTAAGCTCCTGAACGACTGTACCAACACCAAGGATGAGTTGCGTAACCTGGGTGACACCGATAGCAAGAGCGACGAGGACGAGGAACAACAGTTGGTAGTGCAAGAAGTTCTCATCAAACACTTTTGGAGGAAATTTAACGTCAAGAAAGCTGTGGACTTCTTGGTGGAGGCATGGGCTCAGCTGTCTGTAGCAATGGTTCGTCACGCATGGAGACAAGTGTTGCAAGGTATCCCAGGTGGGAGGCAGAGTCAACCTGTGACTGGTGAGGTTCAGTCTGTTGCAGTAGCAGTGGACCTTGTCAGAGAAGCTGCGCAGAGTGTTACAGCTGCAGGCTTCTCCGAGATCACCAACGAAGACATCCTGGAGGTGATCAGGGATCCTGAGGCAAGGTAGGTAGATACCAGGTAGCCTCACTCCCATTGGATCTACGCTAATGAAAATAAAAATGAAATTTTTATTTACGTATTTTTGAAGGCTTATGGTGGTATTAAAAGTTGTACAATAAATGTATAGAATGGAGATTTTTTTTTTTTTTTTAATTGGAGCCACTGATTTAATATATAAAATAAATATAAATACTGTATCTTACTTGTGACACTTGCTACTGCTGGATTCCATCCAACTTCGCTGATTGGCTAGCGATGACATCACTTATTAAGCTCCGCCCACTTAGTTACATCAAACAGTAGCAGATAATAATACCTCAATATAACAAACGCATGAAGTGGCAAAAGGGGCGTGGCTTAGCGATCTCAAGAGTAGAGTTGCCAATTAGTGAATTCCTATGGGCCTGCGTGAGGCTACCTGGTATATACCTACCTTGTCCTGAGGTGACTGCCGACGAGATGTTAGAAGACGATCACGTCAGTGAGGAGGCAGATGGTGCATCATCCCGAGAAGAACACAAGTTAACGCATGGTAATGTTAGGGGTGCCATTGAGTGTGCAGAGAAACTGAAGCTCCTCCTTTCCGACGACCCTAACGATAACCGGTATGAAGTCTTCACTACCCAGCTGTTGCAGGCTATGGAGCCGTACATCAAAGTGTATCACGACAACATCAACACTCGCCGTCAATAAAGCATTTCCGACTTCTTCGCCCGCAACCCACCACAGCCAGCCCAAGCCAGTGATGGTGACTCACCTGAGGGCCAGAAGTCTGCTCTCTGCCTCGGAACCAGCCGCCATTCCTGTACGCCGACCCATCTCTTCTACTAAAGTAAGTGTTAAACCTAACCTTGATTTTTCCTAACATAACCTAACCTTTGGTAAGTGTTAAACCTTGATTTTTTAAAACATAACCCAACCTTACGTAAGTGTTAAACTTTGATTTTTTCTAACCTAACCTAACCTGACGTAAGTGTTAAACCTTGATTTTTCTTTTACCTGGTACAGTATATTATTCTCTTATTGAGATTTCTCTTCTATATTATGTGTGCGTGCATACCATCATAAAGTTAAGATGTTATTTTTACTACAACATACATATTGTGTCGGGAAAAAGTGGAGTTTGGGGGTCGGCCCAGTCTCTATTTCAATTAATCCCATATGTTCTGTTGTTCCATTTACGCGTTTCCCTTTTTACAGGGGCCTCCGCGGGTTCAATTGACTGCATAAATTGGGGTATTACTGTAGTAGTAGTCGTAGGTGGTGTGTGTGTGTGAAGGGTAAAATACTTTACGTATACAATATATAATTTTATGGACCAGTGTTAATTTTTTCCTTTATACGTAATTTAAAAGAGAATGAGATTTATTACATAGAAATTAAAATTCACACATACAGAAGAGTGTGAGGGAGTGAAAGGAGTGAGTGAACAGCCTCTGGACCAGTCTCCCCCAGTTGTCTTGCGACGCAGGACCTGCTCTGCCATTGAGAAACGCCGCTCACCAGATCAACGATTCTCAGGTTAGTTCTACTCACAGTTATAAGAGAAGCAAAACAACAAATGAAATTACTACAGAAGTTTTACTGAATTCTGAGATAAGAAAAACTATGACGAATGATGAAAGTGAATTACTTAATGGTTTGTTGCCAGAGTTTGTTGTTGAGAGGCAGCTCATAGCTTATATCTGTGACTACACTATCATGTTCAGTTGGCTCCACTCCTGCATTTACCACCTAGCATTACCAATCCTCTCTCACCCTCAGGTCTGAACCACAAACACTGAGCTCTGAATTTGAAGCATTTGCCCAGTGAGCTGGAGGGCGTGTCAGGGTAGGTGTCATTCTGTGGGGGGTAGACGGGGTACTGGGGTGAGGAGTGAAAGTGTACAAGTATCTCAGGAAGAATGGAAAGCAGACTGACGCTTTGACAATACCGACGGGGTTTCCTCAGCTGAGTGTAATCGTCTAGAGCTAGCCAGATGAAAAAAATAAAATTACAATAGGGGGATAAATTCATGTTTGAAGTAAGGTGTTCCTTTGTTGAGGGATCCTTCAGTAGCAAATGGATTAGAAGTAGCGAAGTTTTGTTTAACCAGTTGACTACCAGATGGAACTTCCCCAACTGAATAAAATCGTCTGGTGGTTGTCAGAATAAATTAAATAAAAAGACATCGTACTATAGGGATTACTTGGCCATTAAAACAATCAGGAGGTGGACACCACATATTTATTGTAACACAAACTTGATGTGAACAAAAATAGTTCAGTTGGTAGCAGTCCCATATAGGATCAGCAAACCACATACCTACAGTAGTTCAGTTGTGGGCATTTTGAAGCCAGGTGCACTTGATATTAGGAGATATTCTGAAGTCAATAGTAATTAATTTTTACTGTACGAAGACGCCTGAGTACAAAACAGCATTAAAGAAAAGTATTAGAATTATGATGAAAGGGGGGGGGGGGGCAACTCCCCTTAGACCCGCCCCTGTCTAGTTGGTTGAAATACTACTGAGTATCACTTGTATTTGTAGTCTTATCATGATTGAGAGGACACAACATTATTCTTCTCAGTAAATTGTCTGCAATGATTCCATTAACAGAAACCCAGAGTAGAAGTTGGGTGGTGGGGGAGTAGAGAATCAAGGGTTCCACCAGCATCATAGAAACTTTATTGTTTAACACCTTTATGCAACAGTAATATCACTTTGCATCATAAATTGCACATTTCATAATAATAATAATAATTTTTTACCCTTTAACCTCACTGTTTGATACAACTGAATTATGTGGTCTATTGATTCTATACCGGACAGCTGCCAACTGAATTATTTTTATTCACATCAAGAGTGTATTACCTGTACAATAAATATGTGTTGCCCACTTCTTGATTTTTTTTAATTGCTAATTAATTCCTTCACTACGATGTCTTCTTATTCTATTGTAACTAGTAATTTCATCCGGCTAGCGTTAGACGATTACTTGTGGAAACCCCATCAGTATTGTCAAAATGTTATCCTGCATTGTAATCTCTCTCAACTAATACACATTTTCTGCCCTCACCTCTCTACTAGTACCCAGTCTCCTCCCCACAGAAAGACACCTACCCCGACACACCCCTCCACTCTCCCTCCCACTCAACACTCCATAATTATACAAGCAGACTTCCATATACAAACAATACCTCACTAGTTGGAAATCGAACCCTGGACTGCGTGTGAACACGGATTGCTACCACTGCGCGACAAAGACAACAAAAGCAACCCTAGGCTTTTTTAATTTCACACAAAGTCTGTTCATTTAATTTTAAGCAGTGTGAACCTCCATTGGTGATACATATGTAGCCTCGTGTTTCCTAACTGGAGTCGGTAAAATGCTACTACGCTCACATAGTTGACACTGGTAATCCACGATGAAGGTTTACGTTGCTTAATAAAGACGAATTAACAGGTTCTGCGTGAAATAAAACAAACAAAGCCTAGGATTGCTTTTTGTTGTCCTTGTGGCGAGGTGGTAGGGATCCCTGTTCTCATGCAGAGGTCTAGGGTTCGATTCCCGACTAGAAGAAAACTGCAGCGGGCCTATTGGCCCATACTGGGCAGTCCCATTTACACCTAACCCCTATCGTTCATATAGCTATCCAACCTATGTTTGAAACTATCCAGCGTCTTCGAGTTAATGGTGAAGTTTGGTAACTTGTTCTATTCATCCACTACTCTATTTCCAAACCAGTGTTTACCTATCTTGTCTGATTTAAAACTACTGTATAGTTACGAGTTCGCTCCTGGTTGGATAGTTCAAGTACCTTTGTTTAACCCTGACTTCCATTTATACACTTCAATCATATCGTTCCTCACCCTACCTCTCTCGAGGGAGTGCATATTCACATTCTTTAATCTGGGTACTACTATAGTATGCGGTCTACCGAGTTGGAATTGGACTACCAGGATATTTACACTGTAGCGTCTATTAACCCAATCTCACCTAACCTAACAATCTAATATATATTAACCTAACCTAACTTAATGTAATCTATCTTAACCTAACCTTGGCATAAATATCCTGGTAGACACAACTACAACTCAGCAGACCGTATACAGTACTGTAGTAGCACTGACTTAGCTATGCCTGGATGCCCTACGTACTTCATCTCAAATAAGTTGCCCATCAACCCTATCGAGATTAGGAGGTCTACAGTATATATTTCTCTTATGAAAATTTTTTCCCCACCATCGGTTTATTCTATCCAAAATGTTTTTGTATTTAATTCAGTTTTATTTCCTTTTTGATTCCACATTTTATATTATCCCTGACATAGACTGCTACCACACCTCCTTTCCTAATCTGCCTATCAGTATGAAAATATTTATAACCTTTAATTAGTATTCAACAGGTAACTCACTGGTGAATGCTATGACAGTAAATTCTCGCTTAACGTTGTTTTGGTACTACTTCGCTGTGTGTGCTTAAGTGCTTTTGCTCTAAAACTGTACTCTAACCATTCGAAATGGCTTCCAAGCGCCCATCAAGTGCTATTGATGCTAGTGTAGTGAAGAGGCAACGTAAGAACATTGCCCTGGCTATATAAATGGATGTATTAACCCGTTTTGAAAAAGGGGAACGTGCTGTGGACATAGCCGCTGTGCTTGGTCTAACTCCCACAACGGTGCGTACTATCCGGACCAACGCTGACATGATTAAGGTTAGTGCTGGAAGTGGTTCTTCTCTGAGTGCAACCAAGACAACTTGTACTAGAAGCACTGTGATAGAAAAGATGGAAAAGAGGCTGGCAATGTGGATGGAGGACCAGAATCAACACAATGCCCCTGTGAGCCTTATGGTTATCCAGCATAAGGCCAGATCCTTGTTTGATGACTTAAAGGCAGAAGAGGGTGAAGGATCGAAGGAAGAGACCTTTACGGCCAGCCGAGGATGGTTTCAATGATTTAAGCGTCATTATAACTTCCATAATATTAAGATGACTGGTGAAGCTGCCAGTTCAGATATGGCTGCTTCCGAGACATTCCCACCAGAATTCAAACGGATTATCCAGGAAGGAGGCTACTCATCAAAGCAAGTCTTCAATGTGGAAGAGACTGGTCTCTTTTGGAAGAGGATGCCTGAGAGGACCTACATCTCCAAGGGGGAGAAAAGAGCACCAGGTTTTAAAGCGGCAAAAGACCGCTTGACACTGCTACTTGGCGCGAACACTGCCAGCGACTTCAAACTGAGGCCTATGCTGATTTCTCGCGCTGCTAAGCTACGGGCCCTGAATGGTTACTCTGAGGATCTCCTTCCAGTGATCTTCAAGGCAAACAAGAAGGCATGGATAACCGGAGCCATATTTAGCCAGTGGTTAAACGTGTACGCCGTCCCTGCAATGAAGGAATACTGTGCCAAGGAGAACCTTGACTTCAAAATTCTTCTGATCCTTGACAATGCTCCAACTCCTCCTCCCAATCTCGACGACTTGCATGACAGTGTAAAAGTTGTATTCCTGCCTCCTATCACGACAGCACTGATGCAGCCTATGGACCAAGGCGTCCTTGCCACATTCAAGGCGTATTATTTATGCCGTACTATGGCCCAGCTGCTCAAGACTACAGACAGAGATAATAAACCTACAATCTGAGAATATTGGTGCAGCTTCAACATTCTTTATGCAATTGACAGCATTGGCAAGGCATGAGAAGAGGTTTCAGAAAGTTGCCTGAATGGTGTGTGGGGTAAACTGTGGCCCGGAGTGCATCAACAGTTTTACGGGATTCACGGACTTAGTCCCAGCAGTGAATGGGGATATCCTCAGCTTGGCTAAAGAGGCAGGCTTTGATGAGCTGGAATCAGAGGATATTGAGGACGTCCTGGCATCCCATACAGAAGAGCTCACCAATGAGGATTTGCAACAACAAACAGAACACAGTCCCGTTGAAGACGAAGACGAACCTCAACAAATGCTAACTACCAAGAGGATGGCAGAAGCATTCAACATGATCCAGCAAGGAATGCAAATCCTTGCAGATGACGACTCAAACAGAGCACGTAGCTCAAAGATTCAACTCAGCATTGATGACAGTCTTGGTTGTTACACTGAGATGTATAAGGAGAAGAAGAGTAGCACCAAGCAGTCAACACTGGATTCATTTTTTCGTTGCGGGACGGCAGAAGCAGCAGCAGCATCTTCACAACAGCCGGCAGCCGAGGAGGAGCAAACAACAACGAAAGAGGAGCAAACATCAATAGAGAAGGAGCAAGCAGCGGCTAAGGAACCCCAGTCAGCGCAGGAGGAGGAGGCAGCCACAGAGTTTCAGTGACTCACCACCCTCCTCCATTCCCACTCTCCTCCTCCGCTTCTGCCTCCTCCCCTTCACTACCCACCAGACACTCGCTCTACCACCTCCGCCCATCGGTGAGTACCTATACAAACTTAGTACAGGCATCCCCCACATTACGGAACCCCGGGTTGCGGAATTTCGCTCTTACGGAATTTGTAGATTATGACCAATTATTTCGCGATACGGCCCATAAATCCGCCCTTACGGAAATTGGGGTAAATTTTAACAATTTAAAAAAAAATCACAATATAAAATTAAAAATTTTTGTTAAAATTTTTAATTTGTTCGGTGTGGATTTCTTGGTGTTTGCTACCGCCAAGAGTCACTCCATTGTTTACATCCAGTGTGCGCGCATGTTTCTTGCCCCAGCAGTTGGATTTAACTTTTACAAACATACAGTAAGTACAGTACAGTGCATTACCCTTATTCAAGATGACTGGAAAGAGACCATCAAGTGGAAGTGACCGCAGTAGTGCAAAAAGAAGCCGCAAAGGCATTACATTGGATATTAAACTTGATGTTTTAAGAAGGTACAGGTATATCATAAATTATTTAATGTACTCTATTGTATGTGTTTATACAGTAAATGTTTATTTTCATTCATAAAAAGAGCTTGAATTACTTTTTTGGGGCCGAAAAAAATTCCTTAGGAACGCATCTCCAGTTTTATAATGGAAGTCAATGGGAAAATAGGTTCGCGTTACGGAATTTCGCGATATGGTCATTTTTCCGGGGACACAACCCTTCTGTAATGCGGGGGAATGATTTTCTGTATATGTAATGTATTTCATTGGGCAAAGGGAGGCTCAGGAACGTAATTCCCGTATTTTGTCTACTTCTTACGGGAAAAATTTATCCGCTTAACATCGTTTCGTATAACGTTGCATTTTCAGGAACGTAACCCCGACATTAAGCGAGGACTTAATGTATATCGATTTTTTCAGTACATACCAAAGATTGGATTTCATCCATTTTATTTCTCATACCTATACTGTTGTGTAGCAGACATTTAAGTTGGTGATGATCTGAGTCCTCTCTCTGTCACATAACTCTCAAACTAATATAGCTTTATCATCATTCCTATCATTATTTATGTGTGCATTTTATTATGTATCCCCGTGCCCACTGCAGTCACCTCCACCCCCATGCTCTCATGTTCCTTCAGCAGTATAAAGACTTTGACAACTTTTGAACTGCCCTCTCAAGAGTGCAAGCCAGCATTGCCACCCCATCCCTTCTACCATAGAAGTTGTCCCAGTTGTCAATGAATGGGACTGCTACCGACTTGCAATATCTGTCACGGCAGCCATTGACACCAACTGCCCTTGACAACCATTCACTGCCAACTCTCCTTCTAGGCAGAACACTACATATGATAGGGATCCCTCCCTTCACCATAATGGGCTCAATAGCCGCCTTGAACTTATCAAGGAGCTCCTCACTCCTCCACCAGCCAATATCATTGCTTCCTGCACTGAGGTAGATAATGTTTTTTTTTCCTATTACCAGACATGATATTGTCCATCCTGTCAACTATATCACCCATCCTAGGTCCTGGCAAACACACTCATCCGCCTATTTCTTTCTGTATTACAGAAACCTTGATCACCAACAATTAAGTTTTTTTTTTTTATCTTTGTAAGCATTGTCCCTAACTTTACCATCTTTTTCATCCTCCAAAGGACTAAAGGAGTTAGTGTACTTGCCTGCTATATTGATCTTCTCAACCACCAGCCTTGTCGCCCCTCTTTTCACTACCTTCCACTCGTCTGTGTTGTCATCATTCAGAGACTCACTGTATCACATATTCCTCCTTCATCTTCACAATCACTTCCTTTAACCTCACATTTTAGCCCCTAACTTTCTCAAGCTCAACCTTCAGAGAGGCACGGAGCTGTTCCCAGCAAACAATAGACATGGTTACACTGTCAGGTAATCCCTGGGAACTAATTTGCCATGTAGATAGTGTAGATCAGTGGTTCCCAATCTGCAGTTCGCTGGCGTCCGCAGAACTATATTATGCAGCCCCCAAGGGTTTATTAAATTTTTTTTCATTATTTGGGATTCTTTGTAAGAGTGAAATTAATGAAAATATGTAATAACTTGATACGACTGTCATGTACAGGACGTGTGTATTTACCCCAGACCGGGCCCAGAGAGAGAGCCAGCCTTCTCACTGGGGTCCAACAGTAAATGTAAAAAAGATGTAACTGGTAACAGTTAGACATGTAAAACTGCAAATAACTGTACAATATATAGGAGATATTTTTTTTTCTTGAATGTACAGGAGTAGATCCAAAGTTTTGGCGCCCTCCACTATATTTACAATAATAAATGTGGCCCAGAGCCTACAAAAGGTTGGGAACAACTGGTGTAGTTGGTGATGTAGTGTAGATGATAGTAAAATGTATATAGTGTAGTGTAGCTGATAATGTAGTCACAGACATAGGCTTTAAACTGCCCTCTGATAGACAAATCTGGGCAATGCCGGGTACCCCAATTAGTAGCATGTGTGCATGTATAGTGTGTGTGTATTATTATTATTATTATTTTATGTGGGCAGAGACACAGCTGGTGAAGTCCGTATTTGCTCGTCACCGCATCATTCCTGCAACCTTTGCAAACTATCGGTACACCAATGCCCTTGAGATTGTCTTGCCTGAAGTGCTTCGCAGGATCTTCTTCTACAAGTACGGAGGACCTTGTAACCTTACATTGGAAGAGTATTTTACCCAGAATTTGCAGTATAGCCGTGAGAAACTAAAATCAATCTTTGGCAGTACTTTGAGAAAGAAACTTAATGTCAAACCTACTGAACTAACTTGCAATGATGTGTCATTATGGTACAAGCTGCTACAGGTTGGATGTAACTTGGCTCCTCCAGAGAGTATGGTCTGGTATGAAGATGGTTTTGACAATGATAGTCTGGAACACATTTTGTGGGAACTGAAGGAAATGAGGAATGTTCGTGTCCACGGCGAGACCAGTGCTTGTACTCTCACCATCCCAGAGTATCTAGACCGTCTTCAGAAGCTGAAGGAACTGTGTCAGTTAACAATCAAAGCTGCATCTGGTGAAACTGGAGATCTGGATCATTTTATGGAGGAGATCAAGAAGGATTTGGGACAGTACGAACTAGATATTGCTTCTTTACCACTGAATTGATGAAAATAAAATAGAAATTCGATACTACAGTGTTTTTAAAAATGAAGTGCTTCCCCGGCAAAGTTCTTTAAATCAATTGCCACCTTGTCCTCAAAACTACTGTATTTTGCTTTTATTTTTTCTCATATTTAGTTGTGCATTTCAACTATTATTAGTGAATATGCCATATGGATATGATCACATTTTTTATATAAAATGTTTTATAGCTGTAAAAGAAGAGTGATGACCAAGGAACTTTCCAAAACCGAGAGGAACATGTGACGAATATTTAATTTTTTTTTTAACATTTTGTTAGGAACAGAACGTTGAATAAAACACAAGTAGATGAAGAGTGTAAAGACTACTACACAAGCACAGACCTTAGGGTGTGCCGCCTATGCCCCCCAATGAGTCACCCAGCTCATTAGACAGTAGATTACTCATTGTTGCTAGAACTGTACATTTGACTGAAGTTATGTAAGGCTCATTAATCATGCGAAATTTTACTTGCCAGTTCTTCATTTAAGTATAAGAACAGTTTGTTAAGCCACCTTCCATTGTAACAGGACCACTGGGATGTAAATTGTGGCCGTTTATGTTAAAAAGATACTGACAAGATGAAAATTGCTACTGTATATTTTAAAATACAATATGCACAGGCAATTGGGTCGGGATAATGTTGTGGCCAATGCATTTATGGTTTAGATGGTCTTGGATTATAACATGTAATGAGGCGAGTGTCGACATCAGATGCCATGACCGGTGCACAGACAACTCCAGTTATTTTTAACTAATCGGTAATCATAATTAATTTGTTCCGGTATTTCTTAGTGTAGCCGCATCTCAGATTTTACTTCGACATATTACCACGGAAACCGCAGCCCTACCACCAACATGCATACGTAAATCACTATTCCCGATATTGACGTCAGCTTTAAGAAAAGTGCTTTGTATCCTCCTATTCTTCAACTGCTCTAAAGATATTGACAGTGGTGGAACAAACACTTAATATTTAACATTGACCCGAAGGAAAACTCAATTGGAATGAGGTCAATAGACATTACGGTACTGTACTTTGCAATTGTGTATGTTACCTTTTGCTCTAGCAGTGTTAGTTTCTTTATAAGAAATATTTGAACTCAGGAACATCGTTTGTAGTAGCCCAGAAAATTCCGGGGATGTGGGGAGTTTTTCCGGGTTTGAGATGAAAATCAGGCTCATTTTCTGGAAATTCCGAGAAAAAATTTCCGTTACCCGGAAGATTCCAGGGACGAGAGATTTTTTCTGGCTTTGAGAGAGTCACCTCGTTACCCGGAAATCTCTCCTTCCCAGAAGTGCTCTGCACCAATTGTTTCGGCTAACGGGATATCACTGTATATATATCCTTACACTAATATTGAAAATGTTCGGTACAAAGATCTAACACATTTTATTCCCCTCAATGAGATTTACTTAGGAGCTAAAGTTACTGAAGCTATTGCACACAACACTCATGGTTTGTCAAAGGAAGGTCTTGAAGCTTTTCAAAAATGCTGTTTGATCTTTTTTGATTGAGTGTGAATAAAATTTGTAACAGATTTCCCTTTAAAGATGCATTGTTTAAACACTTGAGAGTCATTGATGTCATAACTGTGATGCAGACAAGTGAGGCTTCTATTGCACCATTAGTTGGTTCACTTCCTGGAATCATAGAAGCTAACAAATTAAATGAGATAAATATGGGCTGGAGACTTACTTAGGAACACTGTACTTGATATGGAAGAGAATATTGACTCAAAGATTTTGGCAAACAATTAAGAAAATGAAAAAAGGAGACGGAACACCAATGTTTCCTCTGTTGTAATTTTTGACGTCTTGTGTATTATTCCTTCCACATTCAAGTGCTGTTGCTGAGAGAATCTTTTAGCAGTAAACAAAATGAAAATAAAACAGAAATTCACTGCCAACAAAAACAATAGTTGGATTACTCCTCAATGCTACTTGAAAGAGGATTCTTGTTTCAGTTTCACAATTGACAACAACCTTATTAGGAATACGAGATATGTGTGGTGATAAACAGTGATTCAGACTGAAATGTTTATACAAAGAAAGTAGCTACTGTATACAGGTATGTTATGGTAAAATGGTTGAATTAAATACTAAATGATGGTGTATATTTAGGTTAAGCAGCATGTACTTCACTTATAAATTCAAGTACTGTCTACACATTTGTTATAGTAAAATGGTAAAAATAGATAGATTGAAAAGATTTTTAGGTGTCAACAGCATTCTGAGCTACGATTTTGGTCACCAAAGTGTTTTTGTAAATTTTTTCAAGCATGAAGTCCATATAATAAACTAAAAGGAAACCACCTCAAGTGATGTTTTGCTGTGGGTCTACATATTCCAGTCCCCATTATTCCTTGCCTACATTGTAGTATATAAGTATTCTTGCACGTACAGTTGGGCTGGGCTGTGAATTAAGGCTTATAACTAAAGCAATAATATATTTTACATACAAAATTATGAATAGATGGTGTGATGAATGAGGACTTTGCATATTAATAACTTATATTATACACTATGCTTCCCTTATCACATAAGATGCCATTCATAATAAGCCACAAGTCCAGAAAACTGTGAGGGCAAACTTTTTCGCAGTGAGAATTGTGAATTCTTTGAACAATCTGCCAGTGAATGTTGTGACGGCACCGAGTGCAAGCTCTTTCAAGACCCACTGGAGCAGGTTCAGATACATTCACGAACTAGTACTTGTCAACAGTGCATAACAGAGAGGTGACCAACCGCCCAAGTGGCTAACGAGCCGATCAGTGACGAAGAGGATAATAGATAAAAGAAAGAAAAATGTTAATTAGACGAAATTAAGAAATGGGGAATTTCTGTTCAATTTGGGGAAATTTAAATCTGAGCGTCTGGCAACTGGTGAGGACTGTTGGCCACTAGCTACTGCTCTTTGAGTTTGGCTGCTCCTTTCTTGGACTTCAGTGTGATCTCCGGTGTGGTGTCCCCCTGCTGTGTGTGTCCTTAGTGGGAGAGACTGTTTGGATTTCATTCCCCTAGAGCGAAAGAAGGCTAAGTATTGATAGGAAGTAAATATATTCAGTATCTCCTCTACCATGGGGCAAGGTGGCATAATTTCAGTGTTTAGTTTATTCAGTGTTCATGTACTAATGTAATATTGTTTATTGTAACGTAAACTGTGAGGGAGTTTTCCTTTTGTATTACTTTGTATGTTTTAATATTTGTTTTAAATAAGTAATTAAATTTGTTTACTTTTCTAGTCCTTGGTGACAGCCCAGAAATTGGGTATTTCTTTTGAGACCTGATGGTCATAATATGCAGTGGTACTTGGCTATAAAATAAATGACAAAACTGAGAATGAATCTGAGGAGATACAAATTCCATTTTGTTACTAGTCCCAGGTTCTCCCTTGGACTGCCAATTTTGTTACAGTAATTCGTAATATTGTACGTACAGGTATCTCTCGCTACATGAGCGTTCACTCTGCCCAATATTCACAAATACAAATATTCTATTCTTACACCACTTTCTCACTTTACAAAACCTATGGTACCTTAAGGTAATGTACTAAGTTTATACTATACTTCATTCACTTCTTAATGTGATAGGTGCTAAATTACAGTACGGTAATTAGGTACTAAATTACAGGAATTAGGTACCAAATTACAGTTGTTAAGTCCTAATTTTCAGTAGTTAGGTAGGTTTTTTGTTTGTGAACGGATTTAATGTTGGAGTTTTCTTGTAGCTAGGTAATAAACTACAATAGTTATGTACTAATTTACAGGACTTGTTAACTGCACACCTTATTCCCATGGGTAACGAGAAATAAAATAATTCTAAATGGATGTCACAGAATATTTCTGGTGCATTTCAAAGCAAGCAAAGGGCAGTAATTATCATAAGTATGAGTATCACAGTACATATGAAATTATTACCACAAAATAGATTAAAATATTAATCTAATTGTCTTTACAAGAACTGAAGGAACAGTTAAAGCATAAAAAATTTTAGATAATAAAATATACAGTACAAGGGCCACATACTCAAAAGCATTTATAGGACTGTAGCTCTTTGTTTACCCTGTAACTGGAGTTACAGTACCCGATCGATGTACTCAAAACAAATATTTGTCAGTGGACTCCGTAAGAGTGTCCGTATTCGAGGCCGTAACTTACAGGACCTCCTTTGCTGCTGTAACACGCTCAACCTGGATCTAGTAAGTCCCCATTTCCCGATTGCACAAAAAAAAAATAATATATATTGTATTAAAGCCTGTTAGACTTGTTTTATCATCGAATAATTAAGAAAATGTTTTGTACACCAACAAAAAATGCAACATTACAGTTTGTCTTTTCAGTTAAAATGTTTTACGAGAAGAGGCTCGAGTGTTCTTAAATTTGTCGTGGAATGGAAGAGATGCAGCTTTTGTCTTCTAACAACTTTTCGAGTAATTTTTACCAAAATAAAAGATTTGTATTGTCCACATTTATGGTACAAATATTTTTTATGACTGAGTAAACTTGCAGATAGACCTTATTAATGTGGTATACCTGTAGATATCCGTCAGTAATGAAACCCAAATACGAGGTCAAGTGAACTTTATTTCCTAGACTCCGTCTTCTTTCTGCATATTCAACCAATAGCCTCCACCTTGGTATGGCTAGGACCAAGTTATAACAAGCTTTTCTGCCAAGTATCCAATAAGTACCCATGACTCATAGTTAAATAATACCTAACCCAAACTAAGTTCATCAAACCTTATATACTGTAAGGGGGTAAAAATTAACAGTGGTATAGCATTTTTTTTTTCTTAGAAAAAGAATGTTCATAGGTTTTTTGTCCCATACATTCAGTTGTGATTTTTTTGCTGCAAAATTAGTGAAATGTATCTTACATTACCTTATCTAACATAACCTAACCTAAGAAAGCTGCAAGAGAACAGAATTTATAGTGTAAACACTAAGGTTACAGAATGCTTATGGACCCATAATTAAATTTTGAGTATGAGAAATTTACAGGACTGTAAGGAGCCTGTATGTCTGCTACTGTACGTAACTGATGAGGCGTTTTGAGTATGCGGCCCCTGACCTCCTGGGGGACACAAAAACATGCCTTACAGCCGTGACCTCTTGGGGGGACACAAAAACATGCCTTACAGCCGTGACCTCTTGGGGGGACACAAAAACATGCCTTACAGCCCTGACCTCCTGGGGGGACACAAAAACATGCCTTACAGCCCTGACCTCTTGGGGACACACACACATACCGTGCAGCCCTGACCTCCTGGGGAGACACACACACGCCCCTTGGAGCCTGACCTCTAGGGACACACATGCCATACAGCCCTGACCTCCTGATGCACACACACACACGCTGCCTTACAGCCCTGACCTCCTGGGACACACACACCACGTGCCCTTACAGCCCCTGACCTCCTGGGACACACACACACAACATTACAGCCTGACCTCCTGGGGTGCACACACTCTTGCCCAGCCCCTGACCTCTCCTGGGGTGCACACACACACACATGCCTTACACCCTGACCTCCTGGGGAGACACACACACACATGCCATACAGCCCCTGACCTCAAGGGGTACACACACATGCCTTACAGCCCTGGCCTCCTGGGGTGCACACACACACACACACACTGCCTTACACCCCTGACCTCCTGGGGGACACACACACACATGCCATACAGCCCTGACCTCAAGGGTACACACACACATGCCCCCCCTGACCTCTGGGGTGCACACACACACACATGCCGTGCAGCCTGACCTCCTGGGGTACACACACATGCCTTACAGCCCTGACCTGGGGTACACACACACATGCCTACAGCCCTGACCTCCTGGGGTACACACACACACATGCCGTGCAGCCCTGACCTCCTGGGGTACACACACACATGCCTTACAGCCCTGACCTCCTGGGGACACACACACATGCCATACAGCCCTGACCTCCTGGGTGCACACACATGCCTTACAGCCCTGGACCTCCTGGGAGTACACACACACATGCCTTACAGCCCTGACCTCCTGGGGTACACACACACACATGCCTTACAGCTGACCTCCTGGGAACACACACACATTGCGCTGGCCTCGGCACACACACACACAGCCTTTGGCACCTGACCTCCTGGGGAGACATGCATGTGCCTTAAAGCCCTGACCTCCTGGGACACACACACACATGCCATGGCTCCTGACCTCCTGGGGTGCACACACACACATGCCTTACAGCCCTGACCTCCTGGGGGCCACACACGTGCGCCCTGACTGACCTCCTGGGGACACACACGTGCCTTACAGCCCCAACCTCCTGGGGACACACACACATGCCCATTACAGGTTAGAAGGTACAAAGAGGGCCTGCAGAATCATGCTCGGCGCAGAATACTCCAGCTACACAACGCTCTCTCCACCCTTAAATGCCATCCCTCAGTGACCTCCAACCATGGCCTGAAGGTTTGGCAGTGGACTTCTGCACCACCTGCGTCATTGCCACCTCCTGCCACCCAGCCCCCACCCAGCATGTCAGCCACTACAACAAATTCCGTACAAGGCCATGATGAGTGAGAACAGCACCATCCAATCTATTGTTAAATAATAAACAACTCTGATTTATATGCTGTACAGCCCTGTAAATGTTCAATGCACATTATATCTTATCAAGTAAGTGTATATTTTTAAGCCACGCTGCCTCATTAATAAACCGTTTATTATTATTATTTTATTATTTTACAGCCCTGACCTCCTGGGGAGTCACACACACACACATGCCTTACAGCCCTGACCTCCTGGGCAATATGTGCAGCTGTTGTCTTGGTTTACACACACCTTGCGCCCCAGCCTGACCTCCTGGGGGGACACACCAGTCGTACAGCTGACCTCCTGCAGATCACACCGCATGCCTTGCCCTACATCTGGGCATACACACATCGTACAGCTGGCTGCACACACACGCAGTGTCCTGGGGGACACACATGCATAGCCTTGACCTCCTGGGGTCACACACACACACATGCCCGTGCAGCCCCTGACCTCCTGGGGTCACACACACACATGCCTTACGCCCTGATCTGGGGACACAAAACATGCCTTACAGCCTGACCTCCTGGGACACACACACCTGCCTTACAGCCCTGACCTCTTGGGGTACACACGCCACGCCTGCCCTGACCTCCTGGGAGCCACGCCTGGCCCTGACCTCCTGGGGAGCACACACATGCGTACCTGAACTCCTGGGGACACACACACAACTTGCTTACAGCCCCTGACCTCCCGAGACTGCCTTTGCCTGACCTCCTGGGACACAC